GCCCAGAGACGAGAGGAGCCTCACGCCTGGATAAATCCAGGAAGACCCATGTGGCAGGTTTATAGAGTCAGTCACATCTTGGTTTCGGATTCTGTGGCTTGATGGTACTGTCAATTGCTCCCCAAACGACTTCTGTGCCTTGAACGGCCCAGGGTCGGGCCCTTCCTAGGGTTTGCGAGTGAAAAGGACATGTCGGCTTGCCCTTTTCCAGCCCAGGAAAAAAAGGAACCTTCTGTGCAGGAAACCTGGTTTGGGGCGAGTTCAATTTTAACCGAGTGTTGGATATTCCCACAGAAGATTTGCGTTTTTCAGGTGAGCCCAGTTGAGGCAGAGCCCTTGGTTTGTTGTGGGGGCGCTTTCCATTGGGCAAGGAAGGGGTTGAAGATTGCAATGGATTAAGGAGAGACATAAGGCGCCCCCCCCCCGGCAGAAAGGTGTCAGAACCCTTCGCAGAACTTCGGTTCTGAGAACTCTTTCCCAAGAAGAGCCTTTCCTGGCTGAGGGCCGGTCTTAGGTGCTTCCCTAGCAATGGAGTGTGGCGTTGCTCACAGCGGGAGTGCTGAGATTGAGAATGAAGAATACACTCCCTCGAGGATCATCGCTCGGATGTCAACTGACAATGAATCCAGACATGGAATTCCAGAAAGTACCTCGAACACTTCAGCTGACACATTGTCTCTGTTTGCCCTTACACCAGTTACACCCAGCATCAACCATACAATCCCAAAGCGTCGGTCGACCAAATGCGGTGCCATTCCCAAAGCGTCCTTCGCCCAATGCGGAGTCGCTCAAGTCCTGGGTCCGAATGCGTGCAAGCCTGGTGTCCTGAAAGCGACTCGATTTATTTCTCCCCCCCCCTCCGCTGGTCTTCTAGAGGTCCAGAAGGCAGAGTAAAGAGAATGAGCAGCTTTCATGCGTAGAGAACGTTGTAAACCCAGAAACTGCTTGAGACCAAACTAGTCATTCACAAACGGTTTCCACTGTTCCAACAACCAAAATCTGACACAAAGAAATCCAGTCAAGTCTTGCAGAATCACAGGCAAACGATGGGGATTTTCAGAGATGCAGGGAATGAGCAATGGAATGACCCCTATCCATCCAACTGGTGGTTTTTTAGGGGACCAACGCCTGGGTTCATTCAACCACTTTCCCTACTTATCACACCAGCAAGTAGAGCTTGACTCGTGAGAAGCACCGTTTCGCCTGGGAATTTCACTTAGGTGCATCGCCAGGCGAGACCGGCATAACTGATGTGTTGATAGGGTTGATGTTCCATGTGGGACCATGGCTACCTTTTTCCATGTGGTGGAAGTCGCATCCTTTTTAGTGGTTTTCCCAATGGTCACCCCATGTTTATCGGACCTTTTGATCAACCCCCATATTCTGTGCGGTTCAGCTTCATCCACCATGTAGCAGAGATTCGCAGCGCGTTTGCTTTCAATTTGACGTTCTCGCTCAGGAAAGTGTGCCGTCTCAGAAGTTCCGAGAGAACACCTTGGGCCGTGCTTAAGACTGGGAGTGCAGCTAGAATACTTAAGTCAAAGTCATACAATGTAGGTCTGAGTCCAAGGACTGATTGAGCGATTGCCCATTCTGTCCTTTTCATCAACCAGCCCTTCTCCCTGTTTCCGGAAAGATTCTCGCTTGCTTCGGTCCACTTCTACTCAGCCATTGTTCTCTTCAACTCGCCTCTTGCGAGTCGTCTGGTTTTCTGGTTCGAGGCCGCCGACAAGCTGTCGGCTGTTTGCCAAGAGCTCAAGGCCGGAGCAAAGTGACGCCCAGATTCCAGTCCGGTTGGTTAAGTTGTTGTTTTATGGTTTTCCCCGGTTGGTTTTCAAGGGAATCTATCACACTGGTTTTTCAGGGGACAAAAAAGCAATTGGAGGCCAGTGGTGCCCCTTTGCAGTTAGTTTTTTTCCCCGGCTGGTTCTAAAGCAAATCCATCAGTACTGGTTGTATGTGTTTTTGCCACGAGGATTTAATAAGCAAGTTTCTCTTTTTACAGTTTTCCCCAACTGAAAGCGTTGACGTGTCTGCCCAAAGAAGCTCTGGGGTGGTTGGGAGCAGCTTTCAACTTTCAGAGAGGTTCCAGAGGGTTCCGGGGGTTCCGAGGCTGTTGGCCTTTTTCCCATCACTGGGGAGTCTGGTTTCTGATGCCCCACCATTTTAGTACCAGTGGTTGATTCTGACTCACTGGGCGCCGGTAGAGATGGTCACAATATGTTTGTCAACGAAAGTCCAACTCACTCACAATCAACACCGATTCAGGAAGATGAATGAAAGGCATCGACCCAACCGCAAATAGGTCCTGATATGCGCTCGTTTGCTTCTTTGCATGGTGTTGGTTAGGGCATTCGAATACCAGGTGTTGATTACGACTTACCTGTAGACAGCAGGGCTAGAAGAGTCCGGCAATCGGAATACACTGCATCTAACATGTTGTTTGGAAGCGGACATGTTACGTCACAATTGTTCCGTGTCACCAAGTTTCCCCTTTTGTTTGTGAGTTTCCCACAAGGAAAGCCCCCACCCGGAAACGAAAGGGCCGCTGGGCAACTGAGAAATACAACTAAAGAAGGCATTTGCTTTGACCGTCCATTCGCAGGGTTCCGATTCCATACCACACCACAAGAGGCGTTTGGGTTTTAAATTGCATTCTTGAGGGCCCAACTATCTATTTGGACCCTTACTGTCGGGTACCAAGAACCATGTTCACAAGTAGGACTTCAAGCCCGACATGTGGCAGCGGTGTCTTTCAAATCCACCCAAATGGCTCCCGGGTGTTTCTGGGGTCTCCTCCAAAGAAACACGCAGAATCTAGCGGGCGAACTAAATGCGAAACAGACCCGTTGCCACATACGTAGGCCAAGTTTTGGTCATACCCACATGCGGCAAGCGGTAGAATGTACAGTTCATTGTGGAAAATTATTCTGGCAACAGATTGTGTTCTATGGTGCAGGCAATTGCTGAGCAACTAACGCGCCCCAAACAACCACTTCGGATACCCCAATCAGACCAAATCTTTCAGCCCTTTGACGAAACGAACGAATCGTCCATCGAAGAAATCCGCATCTTTGCACAGAGGTGGAGACCACCGAAATTTCAGGCGGGAGGCTTCCCTCTCTTCAGGCTGAGGCGGGCGAGCTGCCGGCAGCAGCCTCAGCCGGCCGGGGAGGAGGTATTTTTCTGGAGCATATACCCACCAAGTAACATGGAAGTGCAAAAGGGCCCTTTCCAAGAGGAAAGTCGTCTTTCTGCAGGAGTCTGTGCACTTCCATGTTAGCTGGTGGGAGGTTTTTTTCTTTTTGGAGCGCGCTTTAAGGGTCCCCTAACAAGACACCCGCAGTGGATCTTAGGGGACCCTTTCCACCAGGCACTTTGGAGGTTCCCGTTCGAAATTCAGACTACATTCCAGAAGCTGAAGTTCCTATCTGTCAACTTTATCCAGCTCTTGTCAAATAGCCCTTCTCCCAATGCATGCTCAACTTATTTGCTAAATGATAGTTACAGCCACAAGTGGTATAACAGGGCTTGGCTGACTTAACACCATGCTTATCCACCACTTAAGTTGGTTTGACATAGAGACCCCAAACAATACCAGAGGAGGGTTTCAAAAGGAGGGAGTTGGAGTATATTTTTGAGTCAGCCGTGCACCCGCTGAATCTGTGGAATCTAGGGAAGGCCTCCAATAGAAACCCAGTTGTCAAAGATGAATGGAAGTACATACCGCTGGTGCATACCCCTTGGTAACCTGATTGCCAACCAACTTTTCAATAGATATGGGCGGCAAGAACTGCCAGCCTTTCAGGGTCTCACACCCGAGGCATATGTGGAAGGTGCAAGCACCCGAAGCTGATTCATTCAGCTCCATTGCGGATTTGTAAGTATGTTTTGTCCGGGGCTCATTGTCGTGCCATATTGAGTCTGTACCCTTCTTAGATTGCTTAAACGGACTTTGAAAGGACACCGGGAGAAAGCGCGGTGGATTCCCTTTTTTGGGTTGACTGGGAAGCACTGCAAGCTGGGAATTTCTTGGAATCGCCAACCTTTGGGCACACCGGGAATATCGTGGATGCGTCAATTTCCAGATGTCACCAATATGTCTCAAGACTCAGGAGCTTTGAGTTGAAGATTTGTCAACGGGAAATCAACGGAAATTCCAACCATTTTGGGCGATTCATTCGCTTGGTGCTGACACACACCAGCATGTTTGCAAGTTGTTGAGCTGCGGCAGACCCGGTACAGCTGGCATCGGGGCTGAACAATGACTATATGCAAGAATCTCAGCTGTCCCAAAGCAAAGCGACCTTTCGATGATTAGCATTCCAGTCTTTGCCCAGTCTTTGCCTCAAAGCATACGATTCATCTCCAGGCCATGTCGGCCAAAACATACTGCATTGCAAAGTGCAAACATGTTTAACTCATCACAAGCTATTTCCACTTGTCATGACAACGCCATCTAAACTACACTCCCCGAACATGCATGCATGCATGCATGCAAGCCATACATCCACCCAGCCAGCCACCCACACACCCACTCACCCAGCCAGCCAGCCATCCATCCATCCATCCATCCATCCATCCATCCAGGAATCCAAGCATCTCCATGCGTCTGTCCGTCCATCCACCCACCCACCCATCCATGCATGCATCCATCCATGCATGCATCCGTCCGTCCGTCCGTCCATCCATCCATCCATGGATCCATCCATCCATCCATGGATCCATCCATCCATCCATCCATCCATCCAGCCAGCCAGCCAGCCAGCCACCCACCCACCCACCCACCCACCCACATCCATCCATCCATCCATCCATCCATCCATCCATCCATCCATCCATCCATCCATCCATCCATCCATCCATCCATCCATCCATCCATCCATCCATCCATCCATCCATCCATCCATCCATCCATGCACACGCACATGACATACATTCGTACATACATTGATGTTTGACACATTCAGCGATATGTGATGTGTACGTATTCACATAGA